CCCTTTTCTTTACCGTCCCCGCGTCTCTGCAAAAAGGGGCGTGGCCTGGGCTCCTGGTACTCCCCGGGGGCGGGGCCAGCGCTGTGGGCGTGGCCTGGGGGGATGGGCTCGTAGCGGGCCACGCCCCCTCGGGAAGCCCCGCCCCCTCGGGTGGCCCCGCCCCCTCCCGTGGCGTTGTTGATGACGACGGCGTCGCCGGGAAGTGAGAGCTGAACCCGCAGCTCGGCCTCCGAGGGGCGCCGCTGGGCCTGCGGGGACCGGTTTGGACCAGTTTGGACCAGTTTGGACCAGTTTGTAACCAGTTAGAAGCAGTTTGGACCAGTTTAGAACCAGTTTGGACCAGTTTGGACCAGTTCAGAACCAGTTAGAACCAGTATAGAACCAGTTCAGAACCAGTTTGGAGCAGTTCAGAACCAATTAGAACCAACTCAGAACCAGTTAGAACCATTTGGACCAGTTCAGAACCAGTTAAAACCAGTTTGAACCACTTCAGAACCAGTTGGAACCAGTCTGGACCAGTTCAGAACCAGTTAGAACCAGTTAGAACCAGTTCAGAACAAATTCAGACCAGTTTGGACTGGTTTGGAATGGTTTTTACCAGTTTGGACCGGTTCAGTTCCAGTTCGGAACGGTTCAGAACCAGTTAGAACCATTTGGACCAGTTCAGAACCAGTTAGAACCAGTTAGAACCAGTTTAGAACCAGTTAGAACCAGTTCAGAACCAATTCAGACTAGTTTGGACCAGTTTGGACTGGTTTGGAATGGTTCAGAACCAGTTAGAACCAGTTTGGACCAGTTTGGAACCAGTTCAGATGGGTTTGGCCCAGTTCAGACTGGTTCAGACTGGTTCAGAAACAGTTTGGACCAGTTTGGAACAGTTCAGAACCAGTTTGGACCAGTTAGAACCAGTTTGGACCAGTTTGGAACAGTTCAGAACCAGTCAGAACCAGTTAGAACCAGTTTGGACCAGTTTGGAACAGTTCATAACTAACTAGAACCAGTTAGAGCAAGTTTAGAACCAGTTCAGAACCAATTCAGACCAGTTTGGACCAGTTTGGACTGGCTTGGAATGGTTTTTACCAGTTTGAACCAGTTTAGACTAGTTTGGAACCAGTTCAGATGGGTTTGGCCCAGTTCAGATTGGTTCAGACTGGTTCGGAAACAGTTTGGGCCAGTTTGGACAAGTTTAGAACCAGTCTGGACCAGCTGGAAAGTGTTTAGGACCAGTTAGATCCTCCCAGTCCATCCCAGTCCATCCCAGTCCATCCCAGTCCATCCCAGTCCCTCCCAATCCATTCCCAGTCCATCCCAGTTTATACCAATCCATTCCCAGTCCATCCCAGTTTATACCAATCCATTCCCAGTCCATCCCAGTTTAATCCCACCCCATCCCAGTCCATCCCAGTTTGATCCCACCCCATCCCAGTTTATCCCAGTTTATCCCAGTTTATCCCAGTCCATCCCAGTTTAAACCTTTCCCAGCGCCGCCCGTCGCCCCAGGCCGAGGATGAGGAGGGCGAGCAGCAGGAGGGCGATGACGGCGCCCAGGCAGCCAATCAGGAGCGAGTGGGCGGAGTCAGCCTCGGCCATGGGCGGGGCCAGTTTGGGCTCCCCGGGGGTTGCTGGGAAGGAGGGGGAGGGGCTGTCATG